CTCTCTCTCTCTCTCTCTCTCTCTCTCTCTCTCTCTCTCTCTCTCTCTCTCTCTCTCTCTCTCTCTCTCTCTCTCTCTCTCTCTCTCTCTCCAACTGTCTCTTCCCCTCTCTCACTCTCCCCGCCCTATCTCTCTTCCCCTCTCTCTCTCCCTTTCCCTCTCTTTCTCTCTTGCCCCCCACTGTCTCCCTCTCCCCTCCCCATTCTCTCTCTCCCCTTCTCTGCCCCTCCCTCACTCTCTATCTCATCGCATTATCTAAAAGTTGTGCTGGCATCATCAGCTCCCTCCATGCAACACTCTATCTGCAGTAGACAAACAAGGAAGGAGTCTTGTGTTTTCTAGCGGCATGAGGCCGCCAAGTTATGCCCTTGTCTCCGATATCCCAAGTTCTTTCATCACGGTTCAACAGGTGTTAGGAAGATCTAGCAGTGCAGATGCCAGTTTCCCTGTCGTTGTGGCCGTGTAGTTGTTACAAATCCTGCCTTGTCCAGGTCTCGGGAGTTGGTCTACATGTTCACTTCTAGTGCAGAGCAAGGCGAAGTCTGAGGCATGTGCTGGATAAGGATAGTAAATAGCTTGGCTATGGGGCCAGGTGTCCAACAAGGCCTGACATACGAGATTGTGTTTCGGTGGATGAAATGGTATGGATGCACCAGCCGAGCAAGTTCCACAAATGTGCTTTTCTCCTTTCAAAATGTGGGCTGCAAGGTTGCGCCTTTGTTGCCCCCTCATTGGGCCTGCATGCCCATGTGCAAGGAACCAAGTGATGAGCATCCAATTTTTTGTTGCAGAGAAAGACACAAATGGGCGTACCTCTTTGCTCTCATTTTCCCCACCTCTATTATGACCATTTTCCATTCTTGTCGCTCTGCTTCTTCTCTGCCAGGATTGTGCTTTCAGTGCTCTGCTTAAACCTCCAGTAGACAGCCCCAGCCTTGCAGAAAATCACCAGTTGCCAACGTTTCGGGTTTCGGGGCTCGGTGCTACTGGACCACAATGGCTGGTGGGGCCGGCCAAAAAAAAATAAAAGTGCACCGCTGGCGGTTCGGAAAAGCTTGGCGCGCAGTGCAGCGCCTCCAGGCCCAGGTGTAAGCACCAGTGCATGGGCACCTGGGCCGCGGGCCTGACACCTCAAAGTCTGGAGGCGCGAAACGAAAACGCGACCGCCGATCGAATTTATCAACGGTGGGCCCAGCGTTTGACTTTTCGGCCTCGCTTTCTTGTGGCGACAAGTTTCGGACTGCAAGGCTGGGGCCGTGTACTTGTGGTTTAAGGCAATTTGATTCTCTTTTTTTCCCTTGCGCCATCTTCCATTCATCTTGCATTGCCACCTGTGGATGCCCTCTCATTATGAATTCTGGTTCTGGTTCTGGTTCTTTTCTTGTCTGTGCAGAGACTCTGGAGCGATTAGTTGCCTCATGAACGGTGGTGATGTTGCTTTTGTCCGTGAGTCTTCCGTTCTCCAGTATCTGAATCAGACGAATAGCCAGCAAGGATCTGCAAATATCACAAAGGATAATTTCAGGTACCAAAAATTTGCACACACAAACATGAAGTCCACACATCGGGAACAATGGACGGCCATCATGCTCGGTAGACTGTCATTGAGTTTTGCAACGTACATCAAAGGGGACCTTGGCTAAGCTCTATCACCAGCATGCTGGTGATGAGGCACTGTCCTTGGGTTTGAATATGACTGGTCATGCCAATGTCTAAACAACTTGAGAGTCTACGTAGTACTGAAGCACCCTACCTTCCGCAACCAGACATTTATATAATGCAGTAATGCCAAGAAGGCTGAGTGTCGGTGTTGAGGATGAGGCTGTTATCGCAGTTGAATATCAGTGACGGGGATTGAGTTCTCAATCGCAATGATTATCTGTGATGAGTGGGTAAGAATGATCTCACGCATGATTGTGTGTGTTGCCATGTTCGCTAAACACAACTCCATGAAAAAAGAAACATGACTGTCCCAGACTGTTTCGTTGGACTTTACACCGACTCATAAGGGGGAGCTTGATTGTGTGTGTGTGTATGTGTGTGTATGTGTGTGTGTGTGTGTGTGTGTGTGTGTGTGTGTGTGTGTGTGTGTGTGTGTGTGTGTGTGTGTGTGTGT